TTCATCTGTATTCATCAGAGATACTGGCCTGTAGTTCTCGTTTTTATTTTTATTTATTTATTTATTTATTTTTTGAAATATTTTTATTTATTTATTTGACAGAGAGAGCAATCACAAGTAGGCGGAGAGGCAGGCAGAGAGAGAGGGGGAAGCAGGCTCCCGGCTGAGCAGAGAGCCCGACACGGGGCTTGATCCCAGAACCCTGAGATCATGACCTGAGCCGAAGGCAGAGGCTTTAACTCACTGAGCCACCCAGGCGCCCCTGTAGTTCTCTTTTTTTAGTGGTGTCTTTATTTGGTTTTGGTATTGGGGATATTGGCCTCATAGAATGAATTTGGAAGTCTTCCTTCCCCTTGCATTTTTTGGAAAAGTTTGAGAAGAATGGGTATTAATTCTTTAATGTTTGGTAGAATTCGCCTGTGAGGTTGTCTGGTCCGGGACTTTGGTTTTTTGACTACTACTATTTGATTCAATTTCATTGCTAGTGATTGGTCTGTTCAGATTTTCTAGTTCTTCCTGCTTTAGTTTTAGCAGGTTATATATCTCCAGGAATTTATCTATTTTTTCTGAGTTGTCCAATTTTTTTGGTCATACAGGTTTTCATAATATTCTGTTAAAATTATTTGTACTTCTGTTGTGTTTGTTATTATTTCTCCTCTTTCATTATTTTGTTTATTTGGGTTCTCTTCTCTTTTTTCCTATAATGAGTCTTGAGGGATTTATCAGTTTTGTTGTTATTGTCACAGAACCAGGTTCTACCTAGATTCATGCATCTGTTCTGTTGTTTTTTTAGTTTATCATTTATTTCTGGTCTAATTTTTACTTCCTTCCTTTTCCTGGGTTTGGGTTTTGTTCTTCTTTTTCTAGCTCCTTTAGGTGTAAGGTTAGGTAATTTACTTGAGATTTTTCTTGCTTTGTGAGGTAGGCTGGTATTTCTCTAAACTTTTAGAAGTACTTTTGTTGCATCCCAAATATTTTATTTTTTTATTTTTTTATTTTTTTTTAAAGATTTTATTTATTTATTTGACAGAGAGAGATCACAAGTAGACAGAGAGGCAGGCAGAGAGAGAGAGAGAGAGAGGGAAGCAGGCTCCCTGCTGAGCAGAGAGCCCGATGCGGGACTCGATCCCAGGACCCTGAGATCATGACCTGAGCCGAAGGCAGCGGCTTAACCCACTGAGCCACCCAGGCGCCCCCCAAATATTTTATTTTTATTTTTTTGAAATATTTAATTTTTTTATTTAGAGAAAGAAAGAGAAAGAGTATACGAGTGAGGGGAAGAGGCAGAGGGAGAGACAGAGGAAGAGAGAGAATCTCACTTTGTGGTGGGCATGGATCCCATCACAGGGCTCGATCCCATGACCCTGAGACCATGACCATTGACTTGATGACTGAAGTCAAGAGTCATACACTCAACCAGCTGAGTCACCCAGGCACCTAAGTGACATCTAAAATCCTGAAGATTTTAGACCACTGTGTTTTCATTTCCTTTGGTTTCCATGTAATTTTTTATTTCTTTGATTTCTTGGGTACCCATTCATTGTTTAATAGTATGTTATTTAATGTCCATGTATGTGTGCGCTTTCCGTATTTTTTCTTGTTGTTGATTTCTAGTTTTATAGCATTGTGGTCAAAAAAGATGCATGGTAAGACTTTTTTTTTTTTTAATTTGTTGGTTTTTGTTTTTTTTTTTTTTTTTTGTAGCCTCATATGTGATCTATTCTGGAAAATGTCCAGTGCACTTGAATGTGTATTCTGCTTTTTTAGGATGGAATGTTCTGAATATGTCTTAAATCTACCTGGTCCAGTGTGTCATTCAAAGCCACTGTTTCCTTGTCAGTTTTCTGTTTGGGTCATCTGTCACTGATTCAAATGGGATCTTAAAGCCCTTTACTATCCCCATTATTGCATTACTGTTGATTAGTTCCTTTATATTTGTTAACTGTTTTATATATTTGGGTGCTCCCATGTTGGGTGCATAAATATTTACAGTTCTATCTTGTTGGGTTGTCCCCTTCATTATTACATAGTATCCTTGTTTGTCTCTTGTGGTCTTTGTTTTAAGTCTATTTTGTCCAATGTAAATATTGCTACCCTGGCTTTTTTGGGCATCCATTTGCATGATAAATGTTTTTCTGTCCCCTCACTTACAGTCTGCAAGTGTCTTTCCGTCTGAAATGAGTCTCTTGTAGGCAGCATATATGTGGGTCTTACTTGTATATCTACTTGGTCACCCTGTGTCTTTTGATTGGAACACTTGGTTCATTTACATTCAAAGTAATTATTAATAGATATGTGTTTATGCCATTTTGTTACTTGTTTTGTGGTTGTGTTTTACAGATTTCCTGATTCTTGCTGACTTTCATGGTTCATTGGCTTTCTTTAGTGATATGCCTGGATCCCTTTCTCTTTAGTCTTTGTATATTTATTACTGGGTTTTGGTTTGTGGTACCATTATATTTGTAACATCTTCTGCATATAGCAGTCTATATTAAGTTGATGGTTACTTAAGTTTAAACTCATTCTTTGTTCCTTTTCCTCCCACCTTTTATGTATATGCTGTCGTATTTCACATCCTTTTATTTTATGAAACTCTTCAATGATTTTTACAGAAATACTTATTTTTGCTGCTTTTGTGCTTTTTACTTTTCATACTCTCACTTATGGTCTTTATTTTTAACTCAGAGTTCTCTTTAAAATTTCTTAAAGGCTGGTTTAGTGGTCTGCTTTTTGGAGGAACTCTTCAGTTCTCTATTCTGAATGATAGTCTTACTGGGTAGAGCATTCTTGGCTGCAGATGTTTCCCTTTTACCACTTTGAATGTATCATGCTGCTTCCTTCTGGTCTGCAAACTTGCTGCTGAAAAATTCACTTATAGCCTTATGGGATTTTCCTTGTATATAACTGTTGTCTTTTCTCTTGCTTTAAACATTTTTTTCTTTATTCCTATTTCTTGCTATTTTAATTGCTTTGTGTCTTGGTGTGGACCTTCTTGGGTTGAATTTTTGGGGGCATCTCTCTGCCTTTGGAATCTGGATATCTGTTACCTTCCCCCCCATTAGGGAAGTTTTCAGTTACTATTTCTTCAGGTAAATTTTCTGCCCCACTCTTCTGAGATCCCTGTAATGTGGATGTAACTACATTTGATGGAGTTGCTGAGTTCCCTAATACTATTCTCAATTTGTATAATTTTTTTTCCTTTGCTCAAGTCGGTTACTTTGTATTACTCTGTCTTCCAGGTATTAATTCGTTCCTTGGCTGTATCGGGCCTACTGTTTATTACATTAAGTGTATTTTTAATTTCACTTATTGTATTCTTGACCTCTGTTTTTTGTTTTTTTTTAATCTCTGAGTTAAGGGTCTCACTGTGTTAAGCCCTCCACTCTTTTCTCCAGTCCAGTGTGTATCTTTGTGATCATTATTTTAAATTTTCTTTCAGGTATCTTTTTTATATCCATTTTACTTTGGTCTCTTGCTGTGGTTTGATCCTGTTCTTTCACTTGGGAGATGTTTCTCTGTCTTCTCATTTTGTTTGACTTTGGTCCATTTCTCTGTGCTAGAGACTTACCTTACTCTGAATAATAGCCGTTGAAGAAGAGGTATTATAGTGCCCTGTAGTGTAGTGTCCATGTTCCCCAGGTTATGTTGTGGGTACTCTGCTGTTGAGTTCTGGCATCTTTTCCCTTCAGGCCAGATGTTTGCTATTGCTGTCTTTACCTATCGTGAATAGCAAGGTGTACAGTGGTCTACTTGTGAAACAATACCTGCCACTGCTGGAACTGCAGTCCTGCAAAACAAGCAGGTCACGAGGTGTGGTATTGGCAGGGTGATCTTCTGGGGGAGGGACTCCACAGCACCAGGACTCAGGGAAGCATGGCTGGGAAGGGCTGATATGCCAAAGCACATGTGGCAGGGTTGGTTCGGTGTGAGCAAATTAAGCAGCATGTGTCCGCACAGTGCTGGTTTCCACAGGTGGCTGTTATTTATGCTGGGGAGCAAGGGAGGAGAATGTCACCTCCCAGCTCCTTTGTACCTGGAAGGGTCTCCCCATGATCCCTGTCTCTCCAGGCAGTGTTCTGAGATGAGCAAATTTCTCTCCTCCTCGTCTGCCCATGGCATTTTTCGAACTGCTGGTTCTGCCTGCATCTGCATAGGTTGTTTTTCATGCTGTCTCTTAAAGATGAGGGACTCTTGTTTCCTAACACCTTCTGGGCTCACCCAGAGCTGAGCATGCTGGTTTTTAAAATTCTAGGTTTTAAGTCCTGGTGGTTTTAAGAATTCATGAAATTTCAGAGGCAACTGTGGAGATTCATCCTTCCTGTTAGCAGGCTCCCCAGTCTGAAGGTCTGTTTGCCGCTCTTCTCTGTGCCACTGGCACCTTCTCAACTGCGGCTGACTGTGGTCCCTTTTGCTCCCAGGCTGTGTCTTCACCCTTCATATCACCTCTGATGTGGACTCTTCCTTGCCTTTCGTTGTGGAGTGTGTTCTGGAAGTCCTTGGGCTGTTTCCAGGGTTATTTCTGCTGCTGTGGGTGTTATCTAGTTGTATCTGTGGGAGGAGCTGAGTTTAGGGTCCTCCTACTCTGCCATCTTTCCAGCCAACCTTTCCTATTAACTTTTTAGGTGGAAACTTAAACAATGGTGGACGTACCTCTCTTTGGTGGAAAGATTAACAGTTAACCTTGATGTAAATTCTTCGATTTGCACTATCTTTATTTTCCTAAAAAGCAATCCTTCAAGGTTTTGTTTTGTGTTTTTACATGTGGCATCCTCCAAGAGTGTTTGTGATATAGTGATAGAGGTAGCAGCCAAATTGGAGAGTTGAGGAATGAGTGAGTTTGAGAAAATGGAGATGGAGAGCTGAAGCAGCACTTTACTGCATACTAGCAGAGGAAGAGAGGAGTTCTTGGTGTTTTGTTTTTTATTGGGGTTAGGCCGTTTGAAAGAAGTTAAAATTGGATCTCTATGTTATATAATTTGTCCTTTTCTTAATTTTCCTAGCCTCCACCAGGCACTGTGAAAATGCCTAATGTACCCAGTACACAACCAGCAATAATGAAACCAACGGAGGAACATCCAGCTTATACACAGATTGCAAAGGTTAGTTGATGTTATGTGTGTAAATTTGTATTGGAAATTATATTATCAACAACATCTTTGGAGTAGAATTATTTATACGTTGACTTAACTTTTTTTTTTTTTCCCTACGTAATTTTTAACTTACTTTTGAGTCTGAGTTAGCTAGTTTTCAACCCTATTAACATAGTTCTTTTTCAGCTTATAATATTTATTCTGTTATTAAGTTTTTGAATTCACTTATCCTCTTGAACAATTTGTTTTCTGAAATTTTTGTTGCCTTTTGTTGGTTTCACTCTTTAATGCACGATGCTGTTATAGTACCAATAGAAACTGTTGGAAAAGGGTTGTAATGGCTAAGCAAAGGACTATGGTAGGAAGTAGCAGGTGGTAAAAATATGAGAATAAAGGAGATGAATAGGATGCCTTGTATTACATAAAGGCAGATGAAATTACAAACCAGAATTTCTTAATCATATTCTTCTTTCATCTCATTATTTTCTAAAATAGAAGATACTGTATATTCTCGCATTGGAAACCTAGGTACCATTCAAACCAAATTTTTTTAAAGATTTATTTATTTATTTGACAGAGAAAGACAGAGAAAGGGAACACAAGCAGGGGGAGTGGGAGAGGGAGAGGGAGAAGCAGGTTTCCCGCCAAGCAGAAAGCCCAATGTGGGGCTTGATCGCAGGACCCTGGGATCATGACCTGGGCTGAAGGCAGATGCTTAATGACTGAGCCACCCAGGCGCCCCCAAACCAATTCTTAAGAGGCAATTCAATTGTCGTTTTCTCCCTTTGTCTGTTTTGCCTCAATTGTTCCCTTTGTTCCTCATTCTCATTTAGCACAGAAGTCACCTTAATTTTATTTTCCCAAATAGGACTCTGACTACTCTTACTGAGAGAATTTTGTCCTGTTCTAAATGTGCCCAGTATTCTCACTGACGGTTTTCATAACCAAAAAGCCAAAATCAGTCAAATAGCTCCATAATATCTTCTGAAACTCTAACCTTGAGTGAATTCCTATATATATATTTTAAGATTTTATATATTTGACAGAGAGAGGGATAGTGACAGATAGAGAGCATGAGCAGGGAGGAGAGGGAGAAGCAGGCTCCCCACTGAGCAGGGAGCCTGGTGATGATGACCTCTCAGGCGCCCCTGAATTCCTGTAATTTGGAAGAGCATTTGAATGGAGATTCTGACATTGTATGACTCTTGATCTTAGGGTCGTGAGTTCAAACCCCACATTGGGTGTAGAGATGACTAAAAAATAAACTTAAAGTTTCTGGCATTGTAGAGGAAGAGAGAAGGGTAGATAGCATAGTCATATAGGATTTTCCAACTCTGACAACCTATTCATTCATTGGTATTTTGTTTGTTTAAGGAACATGCTTTGGCCCAAGCTGAGCTCCTTAAGCGCCAAGAAGAACTAGAAAGAAAAGCAGCAGAATTAGATCGTCGAGAACGGGAAATGCAAAATCTCAGTCAACATGGTAGTATCCAAAGAAGTTTGAAATAAAAATAACTTTTAAACATTTTAAATTATGCCTGTGCTAGCTCTGATTCATTTGGTTTATGGATAAAGCCATGCCGTTTTTTCCTGTTCTAGCAAGATCAAACAGCAGATTTCCTACTTGTTACTCTGTAGCTCTCTGATCTTGGCTGATTTGCATGTCTTTTGATAGATTATAACAGTGTTAGCCTTATCACACAGAAAGTGAATGTGAATATGATAATTTTGGGGTTTGGCTGGGAGCCTTTGATTCTGCACTTGGGCCCTCTTTGAGTCTATTGAAGCCTTAAGAGTACATGGCAGTGTGCCCTAATTTGACTCTTTTTGTTTAGTCAGCCCAGTTTCTAATTATCTGCCCCTGTCCTCAGAATATAACCTACCTGTCAAAATATTATTAAAAAATGTGTGGCATGATTCTGGGAAGCCTTGGGTTTCTCAATTATATATATATAAAAAAAAAAATACTGAATTGATCATTTGCTATGAAATCTGTTTAGACTGTGACTACCAAAGGCCACTTCCAGGGTGTATCTTAGAGAAAGATAGCAGTATCTGGCTAAGGGGTTAAAGATCTAGACAAGTCATTGTTACTCTGTCTAGGATAGTGATGGAATGACAGGGCTAGGTCAGCAACAATATACTGAACTATTTTTTCCTTATCTTAGATTGTGTATACCTAAGTCAGAGAACAACAAATACTGCATGATTTCACTCATTTGTGGAGTTTAAGAAACAAAACCAATGATCATTGGGAGAAATGGGGGAAAAAAGAGAGGCAAACTAAGAAACACACTCAACTGTAGAGAACAAACTGCTGGTTACCAGGGGGAGGTGGGTGGGGCTGTGGGTTAAGGAGGGCACTTGCTGTGATGAGCATCAGGTATTCTATGGAAGTGTTGAACCATTATAATGTACACTGAAACTAGTATTACTAGTATGTTAACTAGCGAATTTAAATAAAAATGAAAAATAAAATTTATATATTCAAAGACTATTAAAAGAAATGTGTAAGCCTAGGGCCTCATGAGGACACATTCATCCTTGGCTATTTTGTTGGCTTGTGACATCAGAGACAACATCAGTAAAAGGAGAAACTAAAGGTTTATTTGAGATCAGTGTTTCTGAAATACCTATAATAAAATCTGTCCTATGTTCTTAGTATTGACTAATATAAGTTATTTCTATGGGAGATAGTTTAGAAGTAAAGATAGTAACAAACAGTGAGAAATTAAGAGTTAGACTTTGTGGTGTGTTACACATGTAAGTACTTATCATCTATTAACTCACTTAATTGTCAGTATAATTCCCTGAAGGGTGGTATAGTTGTTATTTTCTTGTTATTTCTACTCTTAAATTTATGAAGAAGTGTCAGATTTTATAGATCGATGTCTTCAGATTTTACCAAGTCTTCAAGAATTTAAGGTACCCGGCGCCCCCTACCCAATAAATGGCTAGGCACTTCTGTTTTCAGATCCCGGTTCTTACATTGCTATTCTCTGCTCTTCTCAGATAGTATGGGACTTGTATGAGAAATGAATATGAAATTTGGGAAGAATTATAAATAGTGCAGACATGTTGGGAAGAATCAGACATAGGTCATTCTTTTTTTCCCCACTAGAAAGTTTTCTTCTTCTATACAAAGTATATAAAATCGAATTTTCAAAAATTGTGGCATATCATTTCTAAAATGAGAAGTGGCCTTTAGGTGTTGTGTTTACCTTCTGTTTTTAATGTTTTGACTTCTTTAACTTTAGCGTTTTTATTGCTTCCACTGCTTCCGAAGCCCTATTTTCAGTTTCATTTCTTTATAAGGACACATTTTTCCTCCTGATAGTTTGAATTTATTTTTCCTGTAGGTTTATTGAAGTGTTATAATTCCTTAGTTTCCTTCTTCTGACTGTTTCATATTTTCTCCTAGTTTTATGGTTTTCTTACATGGATATTTAGAGTGTTGTTTTTTTTTCCAGACTTTGGGATTTCCAAATTTTATTCCTTGGTATTAGTTAATCATGTGTTCCTTCATGGAGTTAGCAGTAGAAAACTCAAGATCCAGAAGCTGGTCTTCTTCTCCACTTGGGCTAGGAATTATATTCAGAGACTTAAGATGCTGAAGAGGAAATTGTAGATACTTAAAAACTGCATGACCTTCTCATGACAGACTCTTGGGACTTTGAGAAATAAGTCTGTTTTCAGGGTAGAGTCACAGGATATGTCTTTGTGCTCTTTTTTTTTGCTTCTTGTATCAACTGTATCTATATTGTTCCTGGTAAACATTATGTGACACTGGAAAAATATTTTACCATCTAATGTTTTCTAAAGTAATACTCTGGGGGATTTTTTTTTTTTTTTTACACGATTTTATTTTTAAGTAATCTCTACACCCAAGGTAAGACTTGAACCCACAACCCTAGATCAAGAGTTGCATGCTGTATTGACTGAGCCAGCCATGTGCCCCTACTTTGGGAAAATTTTTAAAAATGCAGAGCTTAGCTTTCAAAGCTGTACAAATACAGGAATGTAGAGATACAGCATTCAATTTATAAAACATCTATTAAAAGAACAAATAATGTTCTTTATAAGGAAACCAAAAATAAGAATAGCCCATATTGGTCCTAATATAATTTTTTTTAATTTGCAGGAAGAAAAAATAATTGGCCACCTCTCCCTGGCAATTTTCCTGTGGGACCTTGTTTTTATCAGGATTTTTCTGTAGATATTCCTGTAGAATTCCAGAAGACAGTAAAGATTATGTACTACTTGTGGATGTGTAAGTATAAAATAAATTGTATATTCAACAGAGTGTATGTTTTATTGTCAAAAACCACCCTTTTTGGAATTCAGATATTAAGGATAGTATCACAAATGGGTTTTTTGGTATGCTCTTAATTTTCAGAATGAAACATATTTAGGTATTGCAGAATTAAACTATGTGACAATTTAAACTGAGGAAAGCATATATGAGAACTGGCATTCTTGAGGAAAGGACTTCTTTGTCACATATATAGTATTTTTTGAGGAAAAAGGAATAGTCATAAAATATTATCTAGGCTATATTTGTTTTGAAAAAATTATTCTATTTTTATGCAATGAAGGCTGTTTAAAAATTCTTGAAGGCATTATGACTTTTTAAAAGGGCCATAAAATAGTATTATAATTTTCTTAGAGCTTTGAGCACAATTTACTTTTTATTTTCAAGTGGTTGATAAGTACCTTTATTATTGGGAGTACCTAGTTAATGTAGGATATTTTACTAACTAGAACATTAGGACATATATTTAGGCTGTGGTGCTTGCATTGTTTTGAGTATAATTACAACCCGTGTAATAACTAAAATAAAATGTAAAGCTCTTTAACAGTTTGTTCTGTGTACATAAAATTCCAGCTTACTGTCTTTCACTTTTATTCCAAACAGTAGTCTCAGCCCCTTTTAATGTTATTATGTTAGTAGGAGAGGTGTAGCTGTCATGACCTCTCACCTGCGTAACTGCTGGGTAGTGAAGAATTTGTAGTGTGCGTTCTTGATGGAGGAAATTTGTATGTGTTACTGTATATTTGGGGAGCCGTTTTTTTCCCCGTCCTAAATAAATGAGACTATTTTCCTCAAAATTATTTGGAGCATTCTTCACATATGTGAAGCTACTTTAGAATGTGAGTAGTGATTTCTTATGGATAGTACATTCTTAACTCTTAGTTTTTCTTTGAGATTTTGTTGTTGATCTAGTATCTTGCTAAATCTCCAGTGTAGGTAGTATTTTATATTTTTAACACTAAAGGTTTTGATTTTATATTTGTACATGTAAACAAGCCATATATTTTATTTAATCAATATATAATATGTGCATACATATAGTAATTATTTCTTAATGGGCAGACCTGGCCTAGCATTTTAAGTATAAGTCCTTTGACCTAGTGGAAAAACAGGCTTTGTATGGGAGAGATAGGAGTTGGAAGAAAATTCTATAAGAAATTGAGTAAAGATTGATTGGGAAAGGTAATTAATTTTAACTGAATGGTTACTTTACTATTGCTAATTGTTTCAAAATAGGTCTGTTTTGTTTTAGAAATGTAAAACTTTCTGAGGTTTTTAGAATATAGTTTTTCTTAATCCTGTTGCATTGACAGATTTAAAGTATTTAAAGAGGTCTCATTATTTAAAGAAACATTACCTGGAATAAGGTAAGATCTAGTTCTAGCTCAGTGATGTTTCTAAATTTCATAGAATGGAGATTGTTTTAATAAGTTATTTTCAGGAAGTGTCAACCTGTTAATGATTTCAGAGTTGATGAATGCTTTCACCCTGTAGTAATAATTATGATGAAAGAGAACATTTATTGAGGATTTATTTGTGCCAGGCACAGTACTAATTACTTTATATACATGATGTTATTAACTCCTGACTACACTATGAGCAGGTACTATATTACCCAAGATACGGAAGCCAAAGTTTAGAGAATTGGAGTAACTTGTTCAAGACTACACAATAATTAGGATTGGAGTTGGATAGCTTGGCTCCAGAGCCCAGAGTCTAGATTTCCATGTTTTACAACTTACAGAGTACCAAAATGAAGAAGTAATTTGTGCTTTAAACCCAAATAAGATGAAGATATACTTTCAAAGGTACCTTACTTGAAATAAATAATTTACTCTGTAAAGGAACTGAAGCAATTATAACTATCAACTGTCAAATGAATCTTAACCTCTTTGAGTATATTCTTGAATTTAAAAAAAACCAAGCCATTTAAAGATGAATTAGTGAAGAAGATAATTATACTGTTTAAAATCTGTTTATGTTAGGTGTCTGTGTTGTAATGCAGAGCTTATCAAGAAGAATATTATAGTGATAATTGCAAATTTACGTCCACTAATAACAGATTTGAGTGCTTAATAAAGCAAATGGAAATTTCCTGTGAAGTTGAATCATTCAACTTACAAATCCTGTGAACAAAATGCCCTAAAAATTTCTTCAGTGTTATATGTACACCTGGAATCCAATCCAAGTAGATTGGAATGGGATTGATATTAGTAACAGAGAATCATGTGTCACATTACCTTGCCTTTCTGTGTATTTTTAGATCTGTATGTAAGTGGACTGATAGTTTAGTAAGTAGGCCCAGACATTTTACTTTTCTTTGGGGTACAGATAAATTACTTATTGATCATGGTTTTTGGTTACTATGACAACATTTAGAAAGGAATTTTAATAGATTACACAAAATTAAATTGATATTTTTATCAATTGTTGGAGGAATTTTTAATGAACCTTAATGTACATATCCATATTTTTCTTTCTTTCCTTAGGCAAATTAAGAGAGAAACCTTTAAAAATTCTCTTAAGGTTGAAGTTTGAAATATAATGTTGTGAATACATAAAACTTTTTCAGGCAATTGGATCCCATTTAACATTAAAAAATAATTTCTATTTTATGGTCTTTTGAAATCTGTTTTTAAGCCATTGACAAAAACTACTTTTATTCTGAGGCAAAAGATCCTGAGTAAATTTATTAGTAAACTGGCTTTCGTGAAAGTTAGAAATCCTAATTCTAAATAAATTTAATAAGGAAGAGTCTTCTTAGTGTAATATAATGGAATGAAGTTTTAAATGTGGAAGAGCTCCTGTATTTTTATAGCTGAAAAATTGAAATGTAAAGTTTGATTAGCTCAATAGTACATTTCTATAACCCAGGTGGTTTCATTCTTCCTCTGGTGCCCTTTCTCTTACTCTCTAGAGTTTGTATATTTAGCTAGTCGTTAAACCAAATTTAGAGGTACCCTATAATGTATGTCTTCATCTTGTTTTGTTAATTACTAGTTTTATTTTATCAGTTGAAAATATTTTAAAGTTTCTAATGTAAGTTGAGATTTTTGTATTTGGATTTGCTAGGTTTTTCATTTATTTTTAATTCAAGTAGGAGTTTGTTGGTATATTTTTCTTGTATTTACATTGAACATTATTTTAACTTTTGAAAAGTATTTATTTCTTTTCATTCAGCCTGTGAATAAATTTTTAAAAAATCCTTTAAAAAGTTTACTAATTATAATGAATAAGTGTAGTTCTTTAGGATCAAAGTATAGTTAGATGGTTCTCAGATTTTTTGTTTTAGATCTTCCTGGATATGTAATTATTAACAACATATGAAGAGTTTCCCATTAACTGTGTGCATTAATTAAAAGAAAGTTCTGCCACAGTAGCTGAAATGCATTATTTTCTTTCTTTAAAAGTAAGTTTGATCCTCTATGAAAACACTGTATTTATCCCAGCACTTTAAAAAATGATAACCCTATGAGGATGAATAATCCTGAGAGATTGAATATATAGTCCCTGAAATAGCTACTATATTAGTATTTTTAGTTCAATGATTCTAATTAATTGCTTAAAAATGTTACAATGAGATTGCACAGAGCACTTCTCCAGTTTTCTCCTCCTTGTATAGTCCACTCTGGGAGGAGTCAGCAGCTACTCTGTAAAAATGTAACTCAGTGTAGGCTCTTTTTCCTCCCAAGTCCTGGTTCTTTTCGCTGGCAGGGCCTTGAATCAGGGGCCACATCAAGTATTTTCTTCTCAAGGAGGAATCCCTTAAGGCACTGCTTCTCTGGTAATGGCCCATTAGGAGAGGACCAAATGAATTGTTGCTAAACACTGCATAAGTTAGGACTCATTTTCCTGCATATACTGTTTTCAAACCAAATGTGTAAGAAACAGCAATGTTTTTTGAAAGATACTAGCTGGAAGCAAGGGGTAGAATACATTTGCTCTAAGGAAGAATTTTTTCATTTACAATTTTTGTTGAATGAATTCATAACTTCAATGTAAACATTTCTATTTTGTTTTTTGATTCCACAGTCCATGCTGTAACACTCTTTCTAAATATCTTCGGATGCTTGGCTTGGTTTTGTGTTGATGCTTCAAGAGGGGTTGATTTTGGATTGAGTATCCTGTGGTTCTTGCTTTTTACTCCTTGTTCATTTGTCTGTTGGTACAGACCACTTTACGGAGCTTTCAGGTAAAATGTGTGTACTTTGAAATATACTCTTTAAAACCTGTGAAGTAAATAATTGGTAATTAACCTTAAGGGGGAAATTGATACATTTTTACTAAAATTTTTTGTTATTGTATGGCATACATTCTGATAAATTCATATGTAACATGTCTTTGTAGTAATTAGATTTTGTAAGTCACAAAATCTCGTTCTCTTCTCCCACTTGAGAAGGATCAAACATGAAAACAGAGAAATGACAGTAGTCTTATATCTTAATATTTGTAGAATAAATATTCCATTTCGTATGATACACTTGACGTTAAGGAAAAGTTTGCTCTTCATTCCCCTTTCAAACAAAAAAATCACAAATGGTGATTACAGTCTAATTCTTAAATGAACCTAGATAAGATCAATATACCTATGATATTTAAAGTGAGTCACTCTCACCTAGCAAGGTAATTATTTTCTGTGTAAATTCATTTTTGGCTCTTCAAATGGTCTTGCATTGGAGAACCATTAAGATTATAAGATAATAATATTTTGCAAGATATATTTTAATCAGTGGTTAGGATTAATATCTCCTAAATGCATGTTCTATGAGGTATTAATAAATGTTGCTGAAAAAGGGACTCATTAGCTTAAGTTTGGAAAAAGCTGGACAATAAATTTCTTCAATTCAGGATTGCTTAGATTCTTTTAAGAGCCTCATGTGATTTGTGATTTGACTATGAAACCATTTCTTTGTGGAACACCTTGTTGGACTATTGTTTTAAGAAGTAAATGTTGGAAGGTGCTGATTTAGATAATAGTTCTCTATGAGTCCATATATTCGATCATTTATCAACTTATTTTTGAGTAAACTTTTTTATGAGTAATGAACCTTTTTCAGCTCTCATGAGTGAGGGGCAGCATTACTAGGAAATAGGTATGTATTGTGCAGATGTTATTTTGGGGAAATTAGAGGGCCACATTCAGGTGTTTGTTTTTTTCCATTTCAACATAGAATTTCTTTGATTAATCACAGTGTGTATTCCTTCGTAGTGAATTAGGAACCCAGATATGTAAACAGATGAAAAAAAAAAAAAAACCCAGAAGGAAAGGGGCAAAGGTGAGGGAATTTGGGGAGGAAAGTGGTCATTCAATAGAAAACTAAATTGGTTAAAATTGTAAGGAAGGCAAGAAAGTGGATGGAAGGAGGGAAGAATCTTTGGATATATTACAATATGGAGATTAGTTATCAAGGAATGGGGAAGAGGTGTCCCCTTTGGATGTGGGATGGAGAGGAATAAAAAAGGACCTATTTGCTCTTTCCATGATCTAGGAAGACAGTTACTGGTGCTCTTTTCCTTGTCATCTAAACCTGGTGTACAAGGTTTTTAAATTTTTTGACATCCGGCTTTGGCTTCTGCCTGCCTGCTTCCATCATGTTACTAATATATTTGTAATGATGCTGGTGGGTAGAAATGGGGTTGTTCTTCAGACTTGAAAAGTGACGAGAGGATGCGCCTGGGTGGCTCAGCTGGTTAAATGGTTAAGCGTCTGCCCTCAGCTCAGGTCACGATCTTGAAATCCTGGGATCTAGCCCCACATTGGGCTACCTGCTCAGTGGGGAGCTTGCGTCTCTCTTTGTACCTCCTCCTCCCCCTCCACCACTTGTGGGGGTGTGTGTGTGCACGCGCGCCTGTATGTGTGCACTCTCTATTGCTCTCACATACTCTCTCTGCAAATAATTAAATAAAATCTTAAAAAAAATAGTGACCTCAGACTAATGACCTGATTTTAAACCTTCTATAACTAATGTAGCCAAAACAAACCACTAAAAAAGCTAGCTTTCTGCCTTTTATTACTTGAAGTCACTTGGTTCCTTTTATTTCCTTTCTTTGCCAGTTGAAATAAAAATGCTTTGTGGAACATTTTTACTTCTGTCATTATTAACCTACAGATTTGTAGGTTTAGTGCTTAGCTGCATCTCAGTCCTTTAGAGTTTATCACAAATGATTAATTCTCTGGGTTTCCCTGTTCAGAGCAGAACTGAGATTAATTAAATATTATTGGGGAAAGTTGAAATTAAAGTATGTTACATCATTACTGTTCCTTCTCAGTATGTGACTTTGGCATTTCTTTTATCCACATTGCCACATGTTTCTGAGCCTGTCTTTCCTGCTGTATCTGGTAGTTTGTTAAACCTGTATTGATGACAATTGATGATTTTTCCTTTAAATGTGAAAATCTCAAACACAGATACAGTGGGTGTGATTCTTGATATTAAATATAGGGCTTTAAATAGCCTTATTCACATAAATGCTTTATTTTAGATCAGTTTTTTTTTTTTAAAGATTTTATTTATCTATTTGACAGACAGAGATCACAAGTAGGCAGAGGCAGGCAGAGAGAGAGAGAGGAGGAAGCAGGCTCCCCGTGGAGCAGAGGCTTTAACCCACTGAGCCAGCCAGGCACCCCTTAGGTCAGTTTTGATAGGGATTACTGCCTTTGAGAAAGGGCAAAGTCAGGATATGCAAGTGTTTCATATTTTGTTTCAAGACTGGTGATTAAGAAATGAAAACAAGCATCGGAACATACTATGTAAGTCAGTAGAAAATGGGTAGCTAAAACCTTTTTAGGCCAGGTTCACAGGTTTCCTGAGAGAAGTTGCTTTTTAAAGTAGTTATTTAGTTTTTATAAATCAGACTCTGGCGTGAAGCTAGTATGCTTTTTAAAAGATTCAGGTTTTCTTGTTTTTTTTTTTTTTTTTTTTTTTTTTAAATTTTATTTATTTGTTAGAGAGAGAGAGTACACACAAGCAGGCAGAGGCAGGCAGAGAGAGAGGAGGAAGCAGGCTCCCCGCTGAGCAAGGAGCCCGATGCGGGACTCGATCCCAGGACCCCAGGATCATGACCCAAGCCGAAGGCAGTGGCTTAACCCACTGAGCCACCCAGGCGTCCCCAGGTTTTCTTGTTTTAAGATTACCTTACTTATCTATTAATTTTAAAAATATTTATTTGATAGAGAGAGACCAGCGAGAGAGGGAACACAAGCAGTGGGGAGGGAGAGGGAGAAGCAGGCCTCCCCACAAGCAGGGAGCCCGAAGTGGGGCTGGATTCCAGGACCCTGGGATCATGACCTGAGCCAAAGGCAGACATTTAACCGACTGAGCTACCCAGGTGCTCCTTCCTTACTTTTTTTTTTTTTTTAAAGATTTTATTTATTTGACAGGCAGAGATCACAAGTAGGCATAGAGGCAGGCAGAGAGAGAAGAGGAAGCAGGCTCCGCATGGAGCAGAGAGCCCGATGACACTGGGATCATGACCCGAGCTGAAGGCAGTGGATTTAACCCACTGAGCCACCCAGGCGCCCTCCCTTCCTTACTTATTTTAGAGCAAGAGCGCACAAGCAGAGGGAGGAAAGTAGCCACCTACGTGCCCCTCACAGTTTTCAAGTTTTACTCTTCTCTGGCTAATGGTGTATTTGGCTCTTCTGCCATAAGATTATTTAAATATTTCCTGAATTTTATTTCTCCAGGTATTCCCCTAGAAGTGAAGAAAAGACTAGTAAGCAATAAGGTGCACCTGGGTGGCTCAGTTGTTTAAGCATCCGACTCTTAATTTTGGCTCAGATCGTGATCTCAGGGTTGTGAGATCAAGCCCTGCCTCCAGCTCATAGCTCACACTGTGGTTAGGGAGCTTCCTTGAGATTTTCTCTCTCTTTCTCCTTCTACCCTCACCCCCCAACCAAAAAAAAAAAAAGAAAAGAAAAAGAATGGTAAGCAATAAGAAAAACTTGGCTGGATTGATTTTAGAATAAACTGGTCATTGCAAACATAGAAGTTGGGGGGGGCATTAGGTTTGAGAATGTGATTAGATTTTTCCTCTTTTAGTTCAGTGAATTTATTTTTTTCTTATAGATGGTGGTAATTTCAAGTTTCTGGAGTAGATGTTAGCTTTGTGGTAGAGTGCTAAAAATAGCTAGAGGATCTATCAGGAAGCCTTTAGTTCTAGAATGTAGTGGAAATGTACCTTAGTCATTTGGAGTTGTATTTTTAATTGCCATATGTGGTTTATCTCTTTGGCCTTTCAACTCAAGAGTAAAAATAGGGGCCCCTGGGTGGCTCAGTGGGTTGAAGCCTCTGCCTTCAGCTCAGGTCATGATCCCAGGGTCCTGGGATCGAGCCCTGCATCGGCTCTCTGCTCAGCGGGGAGCCTGCTTCCCCCTCTCTCTGCCTGCCTCTCTGCTTATTTGTGATCTCTCTCTCTCTCTCTGTCAAATAAATAAATAAATAAATAAAATCTTAAAAAAAAAGTAAAAATAAATGAATTCAGTATCTCAAGAAATTCCTTTTTAAAGTTTAACAATTTACTTTGTTATCATGAATTTGTTGTAATTTGCTTAATAATATGATGGCTGAGTAAACCTATTTTTATATTAACTCTAATCTGAGAAGAAAAATATAATTGTTTTAACTGAATTATAAAATGCCTTTAGATTGAATTTAAGTGTTTGGTAATACTTTTAAAGCCCAGTGGAAAATTTAAATCTACATTTAAGTGATTATATGTAGTAATCACATATAACACATCATAATGATAATTATACATAGACTATTTAGCAATAATCATTTTTTAGTTATGAATGAGCAGTTGGCTTTCCAGTGTCATCTGAGTTTCTGTTGAAGTATTTGCATGCTCATTATTGAGTTCATTGGATTCTTTCAGGGGAATATTAATATTAGGATAAATAACTTACATTTTCCAACTGCTTTACAGTCAGGAAGTATCCTAAGGTTAAATGAATCATTCATTGAACAATGACCATATACTAAGCTGGAGATACAAGGGAGACATGGTACTTGCCCTTAGAAATGTATAATATATAACTGATTTGAAAGTAGGCATTTCTGAAGCTTTCGCTCATAAAATTTATATATAAAAATTGGGTGATATTCAGACACACCCAGAATATTTGAATGCCAAAGGAATATAATATTGGTGACATACCTTGTATTCTATTTCAAGATAGAAGATCAGCTA